ACAACACGCACAAAAAAGCACACAGTCCACCTGATGGTGTTTGCTGTAGCCCATAGACATCTACTTCTATCCTCGATTTTGAATCAAAATGCAGATGCGTTGTCACCCGTGAGGACTAAGATGGAATGCTTCGTTACCAGTAAATAGGTTGTCTGGTTCTCTACACTCACCATACGAAACACAGCAGCGTTAAGCTGCTATTTTACGCTGTTATTATGCGAGAGCGTGGTCCTTCCCCTGTCGGGCCGACACAATTTTACTACAACATACCAGATATATAGCGGCAACATAGCTGTACCAAGTGTATAACTGGTTTTACTGATACTAAACTCACCATACGATACAATTTATTTGGCCCATGTTCAATATATCACCAATTTGGTCGAAAAAACTTCCATTTATTACTTTAAACCCAATATACGGTGTTAATGGGAGACTTCAATGCAAAACTAGGCACAAGAAAGAACGGTGAGCTGAAAGTGGGGAAATTTGGAATAGGGCAACGGAACCCAAGGGGCCAGCAGCTGGCCAACTTCATGGAGAAAGAGGGACTCTTTATGATGAACTCTTTCTTCCAGAAGCGGCCCCACAGGAAGTGGACCTGGTCGAGTCCCGACGGTTCGACAAAAAATGAGATTGACTTCATTATGATGACCAGACGACAACTGTTCAGTGATGTCTCAGTGATCGCGAGGGTGAAAACCGGCAGCGATCACCGAATGGTTAGAGGCACACTGAACCTAAACGTTAAGTTGGAGAGGTCTCGTCTAATGAAGTCAACGCTCCGTCCCCCTCGTGCTCTAATCCAAAGTCCCGAAACCTTTCAGCTCGAGTTACAAAACCGTTTTCAGTGCCTAGAAGACTGCAATGAAGTGGACGACTTGAATGACAAGCTCGTGGAAACTGTCCATGCGGTCGGAGCTAAGTTTTGCAAGACCTGCCGCAGAAGAACACAAAAACTCTCCGATCACACTCTTAATCTCATGGCTGTTAGACGGGAGATGAAGCTACATTCTTCAACAGACTTGACAGCATACAGGCGTCTGAACAGACAGATCTCCAAATGCATGCGGCGGGACTTACGCAACTTCAATACAGCTCGTATTGAAGAAGCGATCGAGCGGAACCAAGGCTCCAAAGTCTTTCCCAGAGATCTGTCTGCCAGAAAGAGCGACCTGTCAAAGCTGAAGACAGGATGTGGCAGCATCGTTTCCGGGACACCTGAGATTTTGAGTGAGATTGAGAGGTTCTATGGGCAGCTGTACACGTCATCGTTGGAGCCACACGCAAGTGTGAGTAACGATCCAAGAGCGTGTCTCATCCGACACTATTCCGAAGATATCCCGGACGTCAGTTTGAGCGAGATTAGAATGGCTCTCCAGCACCTTAAAAACGGTAAGGCCCCAGGCGAGGATGGAATTACAGCGGAGCTTCTGAAAGCGGGTGGAAGACCGGTACTTGAAGTCCTTCAGAAGCTCTTTAATTCCGTCCTCCATGGTGGCATTACACCGGAGGCGTGGAGCAGAAGTGCGGTGGCCTTGTTCTTCAAGAAAGGTGACAACGCTCTTTTGAAGAACTACAGACCGATTTCCCTTCTGAGCCGCGTATACGTGCTGTTTTCGAGAGTCATTACGAATCGACTCGCGCGCAGACTTGACGACTTCCAACCTCCCGAACAAGCCGGTTTCCGAAAGGGCTTTAGTACCATAGACCACATACATACCCTTCGGCAAATTGTACAGAAGTCCGAAGAGTACAATTTGCCACTATGTCTGGCGTATGTGGACTATGAGAAAGCCTTTGATTCCGTCGAAATTTGGGCGGTGCTGCAGTCCCTTCAGCGGTGCCAAGTTGACTGTCGGTATATCGAAGTGTTGAAGTGCTTGTACAGTAGGGCTACGATGGCTATCCGAGTACAGAACCAGAGTACGAAACCTATCCAATTGCAGAGAGGTGTAAGACAGGGTGACGTCATATCCCCGAAACTCTTCACCGCTGCATTGGAAGACGTTTTCAAGCTTCTGGACTGGAAAGGATACGGTATCAACATCAATAGCGAGTACATCACTCACCTTCGATTTGCCGACGATATAGTCCTTATGGCAGAATCGCTGGAGGACCTAAGCACTATGCTCAATGACCTCGATAGTGTTTCCCAACGGATAGGTCTTAAGATGAACATGGATAAAACAAAGATCATGTTCAATGTCCATGTCACACCTATGCCGGTAGTTGTTGGGAGCACTAAGCTCGAAGTTGTTGACGAGTATGTTTACCTGGGACAAATAGTCCGACTAGGTAAGTCCAACTTCGACCGAGAGGTCAATCGACGGATTCAACTCGGCTGGGCAGCGTTCGGGAAGCTACGACACATCTTCTCGTCAGACATACCTCAAAACCTGAAAACGAAATTGTACAACCAGTGCGTGTTGCCAGTGATGACTTATGGAACTGAGACGTGGTCCTTCACTGCTGGCCGTATGAGGAAGCTCAAGGTCGCTCAGCGAGCTATGGAGAGGGCTATGCTCGGAGTTTCTCTGCGTGATAAACTTAGGAATGAGGATATCCGCAGTAGAACCAGAGTAACCGACATAGCCCAACGGATTAGTAAGCTGAAGTGGCAGTGGGCCGGCCATATAGCTCGAAGAACCGACAACCGATGGGGAAGAAAGGTTCTCGAGTGGCAGCCTCGTACCGGTAGGCGAAGTGTAGGGCGTCCCCCCACGAGATGGAGTGACGACCTGGTAAGACATGCAGGAAGTCGATGGATGCAGGTGGCTCGGGACCGTGCTTTGTGGCATTCTTTGGGGGAGGCCTATGTTCAGCAGTGGACTTGTGAAGGGCTGTAATGATGATGATGATGATGAAATATGCATCGGCTCAAGATGAGATAAAATTACAGATATTGTCCATGAATGATCTGGTAAAATCATGTAAATATAATGAGGAGCGCTTTGACTCCTCAATAAAAAATCAGAGTGAGTATCAGCGCTCCATACCAGGTTCGTCGGGGACAATGTGTGTAAATAACAAAGTTAACAGTAAGTCCTCGTTATTTTCACCTACACTCTATGACAGTGCCATGACAAAGGATATAAACTTAAAAATCAATGTAAATATTTAAAAAAATAAAGTTATTATGTATTGTGATGACATAGGCAAAAATTTGGGCATGATGGTAAATAACTGTTTAAAAGGTGTCTCTTTGCGCTTGGACTTCATTTCGTGATTCAACATGGAGAATAGTAAGGATTTAGACGTGAATTTTATAGATATTTCATTAGATGATTTGCGCGACATTGACTTACTGGAAGCTAGTATTTTTAATTAAATTGCTTGAAAAAATGATTTGAGTGAAAATGAAGAATCAGAGATTGATATATTAGAATGATAATGTCTCTTTGTGAGCACATACTGGGCTGTGGTCACACAGTTGCAACAGACAATTGGTATACAAGCTTGGCGCTGGCCAATGAACTACTCGATAAGGACACTCATTTCGTGGGTGCTTCAAGGAAAAATAGAAGAGGTATGTCGAAAGCGGTAGTAGACTCCAAATTAAAACCTGGCGAAGTAATAGCTATGGAAAGTGAACGAGGAATATGCGTATTGAAGTGGAAGGACAAAAGAGACGTGCTGATGTTATCCACGAAATATTCTAAAGGATTTTCTAAAATAACTTAAAAGCGAAAAGTAATTCGCAAACCAAGAATGGTTTTAGCTTACAACAAAACAAAAAGCGCAGTTGATATGAGCGTTCAAATGGCCGCATATTCCTCGCCATTACGTAAAACGGTTAAGTAGGATAAAAATTAGGAATAGAACTTATATTGAATACAGCTATTATTAATACATGGGTTATGTACAACGAAAATAAAAAAAATGAAAGTATATTACAGTTTAGAAGAGAGTTAGTGGAGTATTTAATTGATGCAGGAAAGGAGGAGACCAGAACCCGAAAGAATAGATAGACCAAAAAGACTGAAACATCAATTATTGAAAAAAGAGGGTAACGTAAGGAACACTAGACGATTTTATTCAAAATATTACAAGAACTTTCTGGCAATGTACGGTTCAAAATCAGCCAAAAACAAAACAAAGAAAGTAGCACCATTTTATAAAGGATTTCCAAATGAACCATATTTTTGTTTAATTTGTTTCAATAAATTCCATCGCTTTGTTTAATTTGTGTTTTAGAATACCTAGTTACTTGTTTTTTAGTTATATTTCACGCATTGATAAAAATAAATCCTTATTTTTTGGGACAGTTACGTTTTTTCTCTTACTTTCTTCATTTTCGACCCACATTTCTCACAATTTCATAAACACGCCGAAACCACGCTGAAGTAACAATCTACAGCGCCGCTACGGTCACTTGCATATACTAAATGTGCTATAAACGTGGCCACCGGCGTAATAATTCTGCCCAAAAACAGTCTTTAGGTCACCGATGACCAACACGGCGCGTAGATACAAGACGGGGTCCGGTCACTGGTGACCGGGCTGACAGTCAACGTGTTAAGAACCTCCTTATTTGTTATACGAACCTCCGACATAGAGGTCCCACAGTGAGGTAGTTTAGGTGGAACGTTGTTCCCACTGTCCAGAAGTGAATTGTAGGCAAAGATAGACGCGAACAAGTCTGACCAGTCTGATGAAGAATAAGCTACTTGCTATATAAATTCTGTTAGAAAATATCTAGTAACAGACTGAAACAAACTGATAACGATGATGATGTATTGTGTTATTTAGAATACAAAACATCGCTAATGCGACCAAATTATCTATTATATTACATTCCTAACTGTACATTACAATACAGGCAATATGAAAACTGACAACACGTTATTAAAATAATTGTTGAAACATTATTTTCTTAAATTACCTCATTATCCAATTACATAAGTGGAAGTAGATTGTCAGTAATCACAAAAATTTAGCTATTCCAGAAACTGAACATATAGAACTAACAAGTAGCCTAACCCTTCAATCTATCAGTTCTGTTATTATCCCTCAGTGAATGTATCATGACGTTGACGTCCGAGGACTTGTACCTAAACAGGGCAAGATTTGTAATGAAATATTTAGGAGTTTGGGTGCCTCACCCAAATGAAACGTTTGCTCATAAATGTTACAGAATATTTATGATGACAGTTCAATATTTATTTTTGTTTTTCCAAATAATCTACATTGTCCAAGTTTGGGGTGATTTAGGAGCAGTGTCTCAAGCGTCATATTTGCTGTTTACTCAAGCTTGTTTATGTTTGAAAATAACAGTGTTTCAAATAAACGTGGACGTGGTCAAGGACTTATTAGAAAGAATGAATAGCGATAGTTTTAAACCGCAAAACGAAGATCATGAAAGGTAAAACAAGGGTTATTTAATTTAGTCTTTATATTTTAATTGAATTAAGAGTGATAAAATGATAATTTCATATCATACATGGAAGTCGTAAGAGGTAACAGAGAGAAACAAATCAGGAGATGGACAGCAGTGTCTTCCTAATAACGACTTTAAAATAAAAATAAATCTAAATTAATAATAAAGATAAATTGTTGAGTTATGGTCCACCTGCATTTCGATTGTGTAACTCTGGTAAAAATTGTGATTTAGTTTCGTTTTTGAAGAAATAGTATCAATTATGGGCTGATATTTTCTCTCTCTCTCTTTTTCACACATACACACACACACACACACTGTCTCTTTTCTTTATTCATCTTCTTTTTAATTAAATCCTTTTTTAATGTCAGAGTGATAACCACCAGCAAACAATTCCCACTAGAATACAATATTAACCAACCGTATTGCTGACATTATGTGACTATTTTTTTAACAAACGCTACTCACTAGCGAAGTATTATGCAATGTTTTATAGGCTGAAACTATATTGGCCCTTTTAGTCTTCTAACCGAAACCGTCCGTCTGAATAGGTACCATCTTACCAATTTCTGTCGCCAAGCCATGCCAAGTGGACTGTAAGTTTGTTTGTTACTTAAATTAAAAAAAAAAAACACTTTTTTCACATATTCCCAATATTTGAAATATTCTTTATATCAATATTAAAAAAAAAAACGTATGCTTCTAACAGGATACTAAAATGGCATGCTGCGCGTATCAAAAGACTTCTGCTAGCTTTTATGATAAGTTCGCAAACAACCTGTGGTTTATGGGCTTTGAAACCATTGTTCGACGATGCGGGCAGTCGGAATTTTCCATTTGACATGTGGTATTTGTAATATTATCTTTATTTTATATTATCTAGTGCTAAATTGATTTTATAATAACTACCTTCAACGACACACTGCATGTTATTTCTTGTTTATGAATGGAATTTCAATAAGATAGTAATTATTAACAATTGATTAATAATCATTCACTTGTTAATTCGTTTATTCATTCAGGAATGATTAATACATTTATGTCATTAAAATTATTTATACTTTGTTTAAACATGGAATATAATATATAAGTAAGGGCCTACTCTTTTTTTAAAATGCCGGCAACGCATCTACAGTTCCCCTGATGTTGCAGTTGTTCATGGGCGGCGGTAGCCACTTAACGTAAGGTGAACCGCACGCTCGTTTGCCCACTCTCCTATAATTTTTTTATAATACTGCAAATTTTTAAACACCCTACTTCATAATATAAATCAGTTTGCAGTCGTTTGGTACAACCATGAGAAATAATATTTTAAATCACTTGATTTGAATAATTAATAATAATTAAGCGATTTAATATTTATTAAAATTTAGTCATCATTATCATTACAGCCCTTCACAAGTCTAATTACTTACTAATCAACACTTATCGATCTAAATACATAAATGTAGATCGATTATTGAATAAATCGCGGATAGGTTATTTAAACAACCTATTATTATGTTTATGACTAACAAAAAAAAATTAATAACATCATATAGTTGCTGGGAATAGCAAATTACATATGTGCATTTTTTATTCTTTTGTTTTGCACCAAATATAATCTCCGATTCGTTCTCTGTGTGTTGATAACGCTGTTTTTGTGATATTAGAACTAGAAACGATTCTAATAAATTCCATATTTATTTTGACCGTTCAAAAAAATTCGTATGTGCAGAAATGCACATAAAGGATATGTGTTTCGTCTTCAATCGCCCGCCAACTGCGGGGGCGATGTGGTGTAAACAACATAATAAAAATAATTTTAGGAGTCAAAACAGTAAAAGTGGTAAGTAAAAAGTGATAACTTCACTTTGTCCACTACCACTTTTACTGATACGAATATACGAAGACAATGAGAGTATATCTGAAACTCAGTTACGGATAGTGACGAGGAAATAATTAGAAAACAATAAGTCAATGGTGGTATGTTTTTTTTTATAGAATAAAGGTGACAAACGAGCACACAGTCCGCCTGATGATAAGTGGTTGCTGTGGCCCATAGACATCTACATCTATCTTCGTCTGCGAATTAAAATGCAGATGCGTTGTCAGCCGTGAGGACTAAGATATAATGCCTCTTTTCCAATAAAATGGGTCTCCGGTTCTCTACACTCACCATACGAAACACAGCAGCATTAAGTTGCTAACGCTGGTATTCTGTAAGAGCGTGTTCCTTTCCCGGCCGAGCCGACCCATTCGTGCTACAACTATCCTATTAATATAGCTGCAGCATGGCTCTACCATGTAAAACTTATGTGGTATTAATAATTTGTCAGTGTTTCCGTTTGTTTATTCAATTACACTTTTTTGTTGTTTTCCAAAACCTTACAAATATTACTTATGGAACTTGTCAGTCACAGCGACGACATTTATATTATAATCATCATCATCATCTATACAGCAAATCTCGAGTACACTGCTGAATATAGGCCCTCCAAGGGAGTGAGAATTACGGTCCTGAGCCCCCTGCATCCATCGAATTTCCACATGTCTTACCAAGTCTAAACTCCATCTAGTGAGGGAGTGTCCTATATATCACTTACCAGAATGAGACTGCCATTCGAGGATTTTTCTTTCACATACATTTCCTGCGATAAATTTGTTTCCATATTATGTTTGATAAAAAATAATTTTGATCTAGTAAGCAGATGAGTAAAGGTCAATGTTAATTAGGATCCAAAGAGCATATAATCACTATGTGAATCTTGTAGAGATATATAATTTAAAAATACACACGCATTCCTTGTATTTTTGGTATATTTACTATATTTGAAATGATAAGAGTGATTACAAGCCTAATGAATTCTTATATTTAACGAAACGTCGGGAATCAAAAAGATAAAATGAAACGCGACAAAAAGAATTAAGATTTGTATCATCATTCATCATCATTACAGCCCTTCACAAGTCCACTGCTGAACATAGGCCTCCCCCAAAGAATGCCACAAAGCACGGTCCTGAGCCACCTGCATCCATCGACTTCCTGCATATCTTACCAGGTCGTCACTCCATCTAGTGGGGGGACGCCCTACACTTCGCCTGCCGGTACGAGGCTGCCACTCGAGAACCTTTCTTCCCCATCGGTTGTCGGTTTTTCGAGCTATATGGCCGGCCCATTGCCACTTCAGCTTACTAATCCGTTGGGCTATGTCGGTCACTCTAGTTCTACTGCGGATATCCTCATTTCTGAGTTTATCACGCAGAGAAACTCCGAGCATAGCTCTCTCCATAGCTCGCTGAGCGACTTTGAGCTTCCTCATCCGGCCAGCAGTGAAGGACCACGTCTCAGTTCCGTATGTCATCACTGGCAACACGCACTGGGTGTACAGTCTCGTTTTCAAGTTTTGAGGTATACCTGACGAGAAGATGTGCCGTAATTTCCCGAACGCTGCCCAACCGAGTTGAATCCGTCGATTGACCTCTCGGTCGAAGTTGGACTTACCTAGTCGGACTATTTGTCCCAGGTAAACATACTCGTCAACAACTTCGAGCTTAGTGTTCCCAACAACTACCGGCATAGGTGTGACATGGACATTAAACATGATCTTTGTTTTGTCCATGTTCATCTTAAGACCTATCCGTTGGGAAACACTATTGAAGTCATTGAGCATAGTGCTTAGGTCCTCCAGCGATTCTGCCATAAGGACTATATCGTCGGCAAATCGAAGGTGAGTGATGTACTCGCCATTGATGTTGATACCGTATCCTTTCTAGTCCAGAAGCTTGAAAACATCTTCCAATGCAGCGGTAAAGAGTTTCGGGGATATGACGTCACCCTGTCTTACACCTCTCTGCAATTGGATAGGTTTCGTACTCTGGTTCTGTACTCGGATAGCCATCGTAGCCCTACTGTACAAGCACTTCAATACTTCGATATACCGACAGTCAACTTGGCATCGCTGAAGGGACTGCAGCACCGCCCAAATTTCGACGGAATCAAAGGCTTTCTCATAGTCCACATACGCCAGACATAGTGGCAAATTGTACTCCTCGGACTTCTGTACAATTTGCCGAAGGGTATGTATGTGATCTATGGTGCTAAAGCCTTTTCGGAAACCGGCTTGTTCGGGAGGCTGGAAGTCGTCAAGTCTGCGCGCGAGACGATTCGTAATGACTCTCGAAAACAGCACGTAGACGCGGCTCAGAAGGGAAATCGGTCTGTAGTTCTTCAAGAGAGCGTTGTCGCCTTTCTTGAAGAACAAGACCACCGCACTTCTGCTCCACGCCTCCGGTGTAATGCCACCATGGAGGACGGAATTAAAGAGCTTCTGAAGGACTTCAAGTACCGGTTTTCCACCCGCTTTCAGAAGCTCCGCTGTAATTCCATCCTCGCCTGGGGCCTTGCCGTTTTTAAGGTGCTGGAGAGCCATTCTAATCTCGCTCAAACTGACGTCCGGGATATCATCGGAATAATGTCGGATAAGACTCGCTCTTGGATCGTTACTCACACTTGCGTGCGGCTCCAACGATGACGTGTACAGCTGCCCATAGAACCTCTCAATCTCACTTAAAATCTCAGGTGCCCCGGAAACGATGCTGCCACATTCTGTCTTCAGCTTTGACAGTTGGCGCTTTCTGGCAGACAGATCTCTGGCAAAGACTTTGGAGCCTTGGTTCCGCTCGATCGCTTCTTCAATACGAGCTGTATTGAAGTTGCGTAGGTCCCGCCGCATGCATTTGGAGATCTGTCTGTTCAGTTGCCTGTATGCTGTCAAATCTGTTGAAGAATGTAGCTTCATCTCCCGTCTAACAGCCATTAGATTAAGAGTGTGATCGGAGAGTTTTTGTGTTCTTCTGCGGCGGGTCTTGCAGAACTTAGCTCCGACCGCATGGACAGTTTCCACGAGCTTGTCATTCAAATCGTCCACTTCATTGCAGTCTTCTAGGCACTGAAAACGGTTTTGTAACTCGAGCTGAAAGGTTTCGGGACTTTGGATTAGAGCACGAGGGGGACGGAGCGTTGACTTCATTAGACGAGACCTCTCCAACTTAACGTTTAGGTTCAGTGTGCCTCTAACCATTCGGTGATCGCTGCCGGTTTTCACCCTCGCGATCACTGAGACATCACTGAACAGTTGTCGTCTGGTCGTCATAATGAAGTCAATCTCATTATTTGTCGAACCGTCGGGGCTCGACCAGGTCCACTTCCTGTGGGGCCGCTTCTGGAAGAAAGAGTTCATCATAAAGAGTCCCTCTTTCTCCATGAAGTCAGCCAACTGCTGGCCCCTTGGGTTCCGTTGCCCTATTCCAAATTTCCCTACTTTCAGCTCACCGTTCTCTCTTGTGCCTAGTTTTGCATTGAAGTCTCCCATTAACACTGTATATTGGGTTTTGGAGGAATGCATGGCTCTAGATATATCCTCATACATTTCCTCCACCTCCTGATCGGGGTGTGCCGAGGTTGGTGCGTAAACCTGTATGACCTTCAGCGAATACCGTTTGGTGATTCTGAGTATAAGGTACGCAACCCTCGTCGACACACTCTCAATCTTTACAACGTTGTTAACGAGAGACTTGTGGACGATAAATCCGACACCTCCTTGGGACAGATGGTCGCCCTCCCGGTAATAGAGCAAGTTGCCGGATTCGAGGATTACCGTGTCCTCCCCCTCTCTTCGGACTTCGGATAATCCTATAATATGCCAGCGTAACTTGTCTATCTCTTCTTCCAGCTCCACAATCTTCTCGTCAGTCCTCAGGGTGCGTGCGTTGTATGTTGCCAGGTCGAGATTTGTATCACTTATGATAAAATTCTACCAAAAAATACACAGAAGGCGCGTGCATGATCTATCTATTATGATAATATGACATATAAAGTACCCAATCGAAACAAAAGGAAATCGTTTCAAGAGAGCTTCGTTACCGATTAACAGATTTCTTATTCAGAAGATGGTGTTAAAATGTGCAACACTGCTAATTTAGCTTGTTTCTACAATAACTGTTATTTAAATATAGTAACCAGTGTTAACCGTATAGTGGCGGTGTAAGAATATCTCATATCAGATGTCGTAAAAGGCGACAGAGAGAAACAAATCAGAAGATGGGCGAAAGCGCCTTCCTAATAACGACTTAAATAAAAACCCTTTTGCCAAGCGTGGCAATTATGGCAAATATCACACCTATGAGGCAAATTATGGGGGAGGCCAGCATTGGACTGTAGTAGACTGTAACGGAAACGATAACCAGTGATAAGTGTTCATACCTACTATAAGAAATACACGAGTGACCGGCGCTATAATAAATATTATACATTATAATATAACATTTATTAGCTGAGATCAGCGTGAATACACTTTTTTATTTTTCTCTTGAAGGTTAGCTAAATAATTATCACATCTCAAAATATTTAATATGTTATAAATACTGATTATATTTTTAAGCACGCTGAAATCTAGTTTTGTCCATAATTTACCATAAAACATCTATTATACATAGGATGCCAGTCAGACCGGAATATTCTCCGCAATACGAGTTGGGATATTTGTTCCAGTTAGTGACAATATGCATTAGCGCCTACATGTACTTCGGTGTCGACAGCGTTGCTTTATCTATGGTTATTTTCGGATGCGCCCAAATTGACATTATCAAGGAAAAAATATTGAGTGTAAGAAAACCTTTCTTATATTTATCATATCTGCAGTCTAATCATGGTTATATTAAGGAACAATAGTTTTATAACTGAAACAACTATTGTTTTTACTATTAAAAATATTAGCATGTCAATTATATTTGTTTTTTTTTTCAAATTGACCCAGATCAAAACTTTTGAAGACAAAGGACAAATTTCGAAGAAACGGGCTAAATACCTTGAAACTAATTATAATAAATTAATAGAGTGCGTAAAGCAACACCAAGGCGTGGTGACGTAAGTAGACACATTATTCAACAAGTAGTAGAGACGCTAAAAAAGTGAGAATGAGTATAGGTAACAGGTAATAAATTTTATTATTACGATTTTGTCATAGTTACCTTTTAGTGTAAAACCTTTTAGTGTAGTGTAAAGTGTGCTTTAAACGTCTTTTTTCTAAGATTTCTTTCTTAAGGAACTCTTCATCCTGAGCAACTGAAATTCCTATACTGCAGCAAATACTAAGCCATTCGAATTTATATATTAATACGCATTTCGAATTGTAGTTATCGTAACGGTGGACTTGTGAACCAAGACTATAATTTTGTGAAGCATAACAATCTAGCAGTTTACTTCGCCTTTTTTCGCGAATTTCGTTGCTTATTTTTCTTTTTTTTTTCTGCATGAATAGTGAACAGTAACTCCATACTGGAAAAATTCAATTATTACTAATCTATGACTATCACAGAAAAGAGAGCCCATAATCTCACCGGCGCAATGACTCGCCTTGAATTTTTTAGAGACATGTTCTTTTCTTAGTCAAATTTATGGATACTAATAGTGCGCCATATTTGATACAAATCGAACCAAAAAAAAAACTATTACGTTGCAACAGTTTCAAAGAGCCTCGGGAAATGTTCAGTATGATGTTTTTACATCAATAAATATGTAGGTTATCCGATGCGCGGATACGTCTATTACAACTGGTATATGTCAAAATCTTCGTTTCTTCAGCAAACAAACATAGCGTGACACGATGATGTGTTGAAAGAGTTTTTTAAACTTTTTAACATTTCTTCCGACACTGCTATCGTAAGTCGTTCTGAGTGTTGATAATCTTTGGTGGCTTTTCCTTTACGTTTGAATTCGGTGCACCAACGTGTAACTGTAGATTACGGCTGAATATTTACCACTCAATTATCTCATAAATTTTGATGAACTTTCTGTACTCTTTTGCTTAATTATAGCACATAATTCAATTTTACTACTTTCGCCGACAATCTACACCAAACCCTAAAAAATTACATTTTGAATACATAACTTTTTTTAACGATTGTCGTGTGTCCTACAGAAAAAAATATATTTTTGGTTTAGTTCAGAAATGTTCATATGTGGTGGAGCATATTTCAGCAAACACCGAACCATAGAATACCGACGCAAAATAGTGACATAATTACAAATTAATGTTGTGTTTGTAGTGAGTTAACAGAACCGGAGACTTTTTGTATTAGTAACTATTCTTTAAGGTTGACATCGCGTTTATATTTCTTTATAGAGGACAGATGTAGAGTATCAATAGGCACTAATTTTTTTACAATCTAGTGGACTGTGTAAAATTTTGTCATTCTTACCGTATAAAAAATAGATGTTTCTACCGCTGCACGTGATGTTGACAACACTTACCACTGGACTAAAAACTTCTTCGTTTCAGATTTACGCGCCTAGTAGAAGACGCATATCATACTTTTCTGTTATTTCAACTGATTGGTAGTGTTGGATTGATTTGTATGTCTGGTCTGCGAATTTTAGTGGTAATTGCAATATATTTTGAACTTTAGTTGTTATGGTAATTACTTAATATTAGTAAGCAGAGTATTGGACTTCCCGATAGATAGAGAAACCTAAGTCGACGGATATAGGAATATTGTATATAACAGGCTGTACACACCCTGAGCTGCCCCAACAAAGGTAGACTGGACTAGGCCCCATCAGTAACCCAATCGACGGGCAGCAGAGGACGGGGCCCAACGGCCTATGGAGACTTATCATTCTACACAATAGATATAAGTCTAGGTAAACAAATAGTACGTACCTGGTTCCGAAGCTATGACTATCCCAAGGCTCGGTTAGGCGGTAGGTAGCTGTAGGTGTATGTAAGTGGTGTGTAGTAGTATTTATATATGTGACCTGACCCAACTGAGGTGATCGGGCAGCGGCCTGGTCCTATGCTGCCCCAGAATGTGATTTCACTCCAGCGGACGTCACCAATTGACCACTTCTTTCTTTATTTCACTATTTCAGTCTATCAACTTTATTGTACACTATTTCAATCCATCAACTTTATTGTACATTTAACTAACTTTAAACTCAACTAAATCACCGTTAATCGTGATCAAAACGTAACGCACGGCACGACTAATGAACGGTGGATCAAAGTTCACTTCCGTTTTCACTCAGCAACAAATTATTTCTAGAACCGAAAGCGACCTTCTCTAGGGTCACAAAGTTCCGCGTTACAAACAACAAACTAAATTCCTTCGTACGATATTAAATACTACGCCCGCATTAAGACTCAAAATCAGCCTAGCTGACACGTAAACTAACTATATAGTCAACACACAAAAGGCACTTAACGCGACGTCACAAAAAAACTTTAACTTCCAAAAACAATTAACCGGGCCACACCCACGAAATAGAATGCGAGCTTCAAATTCTAGACCGTATGTCTTCTCGAAGTGCGCGGAAGGTTCCACGTTACAAAAGCAAGTTAGATATTGCAAAATGCATTTCAAGACGCAATCACTATACAATTGACGCAATTACTTTCAAACGAAAGTACTTTAATCAGTCAAATTCAATACAAGACTGTTGTCACGAACGTACAATTTAGACAAACTACTCGAGGCGGTCTCCACGAAACCCCAAATTCAATAGCGAATTAAACGCGCACAAATCTCAAAATCTAGACAACAAAACCAAAACTGGTCGCGCGAAACCGCTGCAGCGGTCACTACAAAATACGTTAATCGACCGCGCCGCTGCTGTCAAGCTACTGACCTCGCACTCGCGTTCTGCGCCCACGCCCTCTGCAGAGCGACGCACACGGGAGTGGGGCCACGGTGACCTTTACAAAGTCAGCGGGCGGACACGAGTGTTGAATGCAAATTTCAAATGTTAATTGTTTGGCCTAAACACAGGCTATGAATCATTCCTTCTTAGTCCACAGATGTGCCTACACATTTGTAGTTTTATTTGTTTGAAGCTGGCTGCAAGTTTCTATGGGCTGAAGTAAGCACTCACCATCACGTATTTGGTTTAAAATTTCGTTCACTTCAATTTTATAAAAAAAAATGTGGTCATCAGAATCCCACTGCTGAACATAAAGCCTCCGGCACAGGTTCCCAGAAAATTTTTTCCTAAATGGCCTATTGTCATCGTTAATTGTTTATTACTTGCAGGTGGACTGGCGTAGTATGCAATTTGCCTCAATAGTTACGTACTTATCCGTGATGATAAGTCAGTTGTTCGTAAGCTGCTGGTGTGGTCACGAGCTTACTGCTACTGTAAGTGTAATGTATTTCAACATATATTTATTAACTTCACATGTATGTATGTGTTGATGTGAGTATACATATGTATGTATGTATGTATGTATGAATCTAATGGAGTGTTATAATTCAGTTTTCACCCACTTCCGGACATCTCAGTAATCCGAAATTTTACAACTATATGTACTATAAAACTGTGATGTCAATAATTTCTTGACTATGGTCTTATATTCTCCCTAGGATCATCACAGAATATGACCGATATGTTGTTTAAGTTTTTTTCAATCGTTTATAATATAATTGCTCAATAATTATCTGCACAATTTATGTTAGAAAAAAAATTATGAAAATCATTATATTGCTTTGGTTTCCAAACGCACTTTCACATTTATAACAATGATAAAATTGAAACATATTTTAAGATTGGCAAACAATTGAATTAAATAAATGTATTTACAGAGCGATGAACTGAACACAGTACTATACAAATGCGCTTGGTACGATCAGGATATGAAGTTCAAGCGAGCATTAGTCTTTGTGATGATGCGCATGAGCAAGCCACTGGTACTAAGGGCCGGACATTATGTAACATTATCGCGCCAAACATTTGTGACAGTACGTACGAAAAAGTTTTGTTTTTATCTTCAGTAAATAGATAGTTCTGATTTACCACTGTCATCATCATCATCATCATTACAGCCCTTCACAAGTCCACTGCTGAACATAGGCCTCTCCCAAAGAATGCCAAAAAGCACGGTCCTGAGCCACCTGCATCCATCGACTTCCTGCATGTCTTACCAGGTCGTCACTCCATCTCGTGGGGGGACGCCCTACACTTCGCCTACCGGTACGAGGCTGCCACTCAAGAACCTTTCTTCCCCATCGGTTGTCGGTTCTTCGAGCTATATGGCCGGCCCATTGCCACTTCAGCTTACTAATCCGTTGGGCTATGTCGGTTACTCTGGTTCTACTGCGGATATCCTCATTCCTAAGTTTATCACGCAGAGAAACTCCGAGCATAGCCCTCTCCATAGCTCGCAGAGCGACCTTGAGCTTCCTCATCCGGCCAGCAGTGAAGGACCACGTCTCAGTTCCGTATGTCATCACTGGCAACACGCACTGGGTGTACAGTCTCGTTTTCAAGTTTTGAGGTATACCTGACGAGAAGATGTGCCGTAATTTCCCGAACGCTGCCCAACCGAGTTGAATCCGTCGATTGACCTCTCGGTCGAAGTTGGACTTACCTAGTCGGACTATTTGTCCCAGGTAAACATACTCGTCAACAACTTCGAGCTTAGTGTTCCCAACAACTACCGGCATAGTTGTGACATGGACATTAAACATGATCTTAGTTTTGTCCATGTTCATCTTAAGACCTATCCGTTGGGAAACACTATTGAGGTCATTGAGCATAGTGCTTAGGTCCTCCAGCGATTCTGCCATAAGGACTATATCGTCGGCAAATCGAAGGTGAGTGATGTACTCGCCATTGATGTTGATACCGTATCCTTTCCAGTCCAGAAGCTTGAAAACGTCTTCCAATGCAGCGGTGAAGAGTTTCGGGGATATGACGTCACCCTGTCTTACACCTCTCTGCAATTGGATAGGTTTCGTACTCTGGTTCTGTACTCGGATAGTCATCGTAGCCATACTGTACAAGCACTTCAACACTTCGATATACCGACAGTCAACTTGGCACCGCTGAAGGGACTGCAGCACCGCCCAAATTTCGACGGAATCAAAGGCTTTCTCATAGTCCCTTTCGGAAACCGGCTTGTTCGGGAGGCTGGAAGTCGTCAAGTCTGCGCGCAAGACGATTCTTAATGACTCTCGAAAACAGCACGTAGACGCGGCTCAGAAGGGAAATCGGTCTGTAGTTCTTCAAGAGAGCGTTGTCACCTTTCTTGAAGAACAAGACCACCGCACTTCTGCTCCACGCCTCCGGTGTAATGCCACCATGGAGGACGGAATTAAAGAGCCTCTGAAGGACTTCAAGTACCGGTTTTCCACCCGCTTTCAGAAGCTCCGCTGTAATTCCATCCTGGCCTGGGGCCTTACCGTTTTTAAGGTGCTGGAGAGCCATTCTAATCTCGCTCAGACTGACGTCCGGGATATCTTCAGAATTATTTACCACTGTACGTCTAAGAAATTAAAAAAAAGATATTTTGAAGACACGTGAAGTCTGCAAACACGCATTGGGGTACGCGGCAGACACTTACTTGCTCAAAATGCCTCTCAAAATGAGATGAGGCCTGTGCGTATCGGTGGGCGATATAAAGGCTGTAACTTAACTGGTTTAAACTTTTAAATAACAAAAAACATAAAATACCACTACAGACCGTTTTAAGCCACTGTCGAATATCTGATAATTTTCTCTCAAAGAAATTTAAAATTTACATGGATGATTTTTGACCAAGGTTCCTTCTTCAGTAAGCAGGATAAATTGAGTGCTGTGCAAAATTTTTTTTTATAGAATAAGGGTGACAAACGAGCACACAGTCCACCTGATGGTAAGTGGTTGCTGTGGCCCATAGACATCTATATTTATCCTCATTTGCGAATCAATATGCAGATGCTTTTTCACCCGTGAGGACTAAGATGGAATACCTCTTTCCCGGTAAAACGGGTCTCCGGTTCTCTACACTCACCATACGAAACACAGCAGTGTTAAGCTGCTATTTTACGCTGGTATTCTGTGAGAGCGTGGTCCTTCCCCGGTCGAGCCAACCCATTCGTGTTACAACTATACTATTAATATAGCTGCATCATGGCTCTACCACGTACAAAATGGACATTATGGTTGAAATCAGTCAAAATATTCTATTAAAGATGTTAAAAATTTACTTGCTCAGAACCGCGTAATGATATAAAATGATGAGTCTTACCTGGTTTGAAGAGCACTTTCGGTCCTCCTTCAATTGCGTGCACTATCGCCGTCACCACTAATCCCAGCACCACTACTCCCAATACCACTAGACTAGGAAAGACACAATACCGTCGATAATATGACACGTGTTTCGCCTCTACACGAGGCATCCTCAGGTGAAGTAAACTATGCGGTGGCTGACCGCTAAGTCTATGTTAAATTTTAACATCTTTAATATTAATGGATTTCCGCAAGGTAACGCCTAAATCTATTAAAATGTCCTGTATCATGTCACCACCGTCCTTATCTTTATGTTAGTAACAAAGTTTTTAAAACTCTTATTTTAATGATGGGATTACATTTTGCTTCTTCCAGATTCTGCGAACATCTTATTCATATTTTGCAGTATTAAATCAGACAATTAAAGATTAAAACATTGATATCACAACGCACATAGATTACAATAGAGCAGAATACGACAAAATAGAATATGAAAAGAAAGAGTAGAGTATATTATTTTAAATTTTGATACTTCAATTGTTTGTAAAATACCGCTGTCTAGAAAACCTCACAAGGAACCCAGCGATTTTTTTTAAATATAATAACTAACAAAAATATATATACTATAATTATTAAACTATTATAAAACTCTAACAGGACCTCTGTCTGAACAGGCATCACGCAATGACATGTGAACCGATTTGGATAAGACTTTCACTAGCAGATAGCTGATGTTATCAGGAGTAACTTAAGCTACTTTTATTTTAGGGTTAGTCGCATTTTTATTTTAGGGGTAGTAACAACTGGTTGTACAATATAAATTAATTATTTTCGAAACAGCGACACTTCTTTATTCCGTAGGGTTACTAAAATTCATGTTTCTCTTAATATTATAATACAAGGTAATAATAATATTAAGGATTACATGATTTTTGGCATTTTATCAAGAAAAAAAACAGACATTATATTGATGTACATTTTGTTGAATTTTGTTGTACAATATAAGCATTTTCACAAAATGAATTACTGAACCTGTGAATTAAGGTAACTGGCAATGCACGCTTATTTATTTTGACATATAATATAAATATAGATGAATTATAGTATTTACAGTATGTTTTTATGAACATAATTACATTTTATTGTTTCAAATTTTTCTTCAAATATAGTATTTTTCTATGTCATACCAGATACAACCAAATAATTTAGATACTAGTTGCGTTTCCTCTTAGCAAAATTACATACGACATTATAGTAATAGAATGTGACATTGTAGATAGATTGAATCAAATTACTGCGCAGATCGCCAAATTAAATCTAACGACTCTCTAAATTTTATATTGATTTGATATTCTCGTGGTTGAATCGAATGCCTTATTAGCGCTACATGCAATTACCTAATACAGAGTTAGATAATTGCATGTAGCCTAATAGAGAGAGAGAGTTACGTAATACAGAGTAATGAAGCCGCATCCTAGCTATATAACTGATAGTAAGGAAACTACGTAAGAAACAAAGCTCTTTAAGTAATATTGAACCTTACATATTTAGTTAAATACCTTATCTATACGTCTACTACACATTCAATATTGTAAAATATGGGGTTCCGATAATTATAATACGAGTAATACTCAAGAGCAGTGCGATGATGATATCAGGTGTGAATCGTGGTTTCCTTCGTTTACGTTTAGTTTCGTTATTTTATGTTAATGATCATAAGCTGATGTTTTTAACTTATTATTAAATTTTAGGATTAAAAATATTATCATACTGAAAATAAAATAACAAATAAATAAGTAAGCCTCAACAGGGACTAGCACAGGGCAGCATTATAGTTCCCGAGTGGACGCACAAGCACAGCTGGACTATCTATTCCCTCACTCTCATATTCCGATGAGACGGAAAACCGTACGGACAGACAGGAGAGAGATTATGCGCAAAATCAACGCCTTTAAGTTCTTTCCGATGCATGAGGATAAAACACCGCAAACTGCCTGACTCCTTTACCGCCTAGTGAGTGGTAAATCAGCACTTATAATTGTAATTAACAATCTCATTGGTGCCGGCGGGGATCGAATCCGGGTTGTTCTCGTACTGTGAAATTTATAGCAAGCCTTTAACCCCTGAGCTGTCTAACTATGAAAATTACATGATGACAAATTCAATACAAATGGATCTCTAATTGTGATGGCATTATGAAACTACATAATTCCATCAACTTACACAAATTGTTCAGTTTTACTATTGTGTCGACAAATACGTTGATATTAACGGCAGTAACTTATAATTTAGTCCAAGTCGATGAATGCTTTGCTTCACTGTAACGTTTTATAATAGTGACACTAACAAATGTCGAAGCTACTTACCGAAAGCTTTCCTTCGGAATAATATATGAAATTTTATTATATAGCGTTTCATTTACCTAGAAACAGCAATGATCCCACATTATAAAATTTAAGAATGTTATGATACATAAATACAGCGCACAAATCTTCCATAAATTGTTTTTATTTATTACTAGCAACCTGCAACGGATGTGTGTGAGTGTGTGTGTGTGTGTGTGTGTGTGTGTGTGTGTGTGAGAGAGTACACGTGTGTTTGTGTGTGGATGTGTGTGTGGTGTGTACATGTGTATGTGTGTGCGTGTGTATGTATGTGTGTGTGTGTGTGCGTGTGTATGTGGGTGTATGTGGTTCTTTTATACGAGTGCGATTCACCGTTCAGTCTGCATCACCACTTACCTACCAATCAACTGTCAATTACTTTTCACTGTTTAAACAAGAGCGAAAGGTACATTAAGCCGGGTACAAATAAGAATTCTGCAAACTTTGCAATAAAAATACAAAATGATATCGACGTGTTCAATGGAATACGTTTGCTACGTTTACATTAATATACAATATGAGCTTTTAATTTTCGTATTTACGCATAATTAACTCGGGAAACGCTCATAAATCTGTCCGGTTTGTTATTTATTTGTTTTGATGTTGGCAAAATGGCAGCCTGTATACAAATTTGTACCAACATTATATTAAAGTGCTTATTTTAAATTGCCCGAATATCTACAAAGGTTTGAAATCAAATATTTTGTGTATTTGAATTGAATTGACGTTGTCCTTTCACTAGTCTTCTATATTTGATTTACACTCTTACAATCCTTGAGTACTCCTTTCATAAATTAAGTGTTAATTATCTCTATACCCCTATTTCTTTCTATCGTCATTTATTAAAAAGAGGAAAAGAGAGAGAGAGAGAGAGAGAGCAACTTTATGCATATCTTGTAGTGACGTTAAATTTTATAAGGTTGTTACAGTTTGAAATAATGAGGTAATGGTATTTATAATAACGACGTCCAAGTAAAATTTACTTACATAATAATATTATTAACTGTTGAGTGCACCCAAAGTTCCGGGTCACAACAGGGCGTTTGTGACTGATTGCCAATCAGCTACCAGTAATTGGCGAAACAGGACAAATAAAGTGCATGCATTATGTTCAAGTGCATTTGGGATTTACAGCCGTGTCCTTCGTGGAATAAAAATAACGTATGCGCCAAAATTATTTTATTTAAAAATCTCTTATGTTAAAGCAAACATTAATTTTTTTTTGTAACTAGACTCAATGAGTTGTTAATGATTGCATGTATCTAATTATTGTCACTGAAATCCGCATCCTATTAAGAACAGAACTAAAATAGCCGACAAACAGATGTAGCTTTATATTTTTAGTCTATCGAGAAAATATCATCCTATTATGGATTTATTCTTAATATTTCTTAATTAAGAATAAATCCATAATAGGATGATATTTTGTAAAATTACTTCACTTAGGCTGAGAACCCATGGAGCGGTATTAACTAAATTTTTTGCTGTTGCACTTATGGGCCGGCTCGAGCCGGGTTTGTACCACGACCTCACAGAATACCGGCGTGAAATAGAAGCTCTGCTTCTGCGTTTCGTCTGGTGAGTGCAGGTGGCCGGAGGCCCAATTCCCCCCCCCCCCCATAAACATGGTAGCGGAATTACACATTAGGATACCCAGGAGGGTACCAGCACCCCTGGAGAATCCCTCGCTGAGCATCCACGACCATGTTATTCCACTCCTGAGCGTGGGTGTTCAGGCTGCCCCGCGTATTCTGGGGGGAGGGGATGGGGGGCAAAATTCCGCTCAAAAACATAACTGCTCATGGCAAACTGAACAACAAGACAAAGGCGACCCCTGCCACGCTATCCGTGAATTTCTGCAACATCAGGGGACTTCACTCGAATCTAAACGCCGTCCACTACCATCTCGAGACGGCGAAGCCGGCCTTGCTCTTTCTGACCGAGACGCAGGTTTCCTCTCCGGCTGATATTTCGTATCTCTCCTACCCGGGGTACAAATTGGAGCACTCCTTTGTGCCTCGGGCTGGAGTTTGCGTGTATGTCAGAGAGGACATCTGTTCTCGACGCCTCGGCAGTCTTGAAGGTTCGGACCTGTCCATCCTATGGCGCGTAGACAGCGACGACCATCCGCGTGTCTACGGGTGCCTCTATAGGTCCCATAGCGGTAATTCCGAAACAGAGCGACTCATTGACCACGTCCAAATGGCTACAGATTCCTTGCTACAACAGGTCCCAACCGCAGAGATCGTGATTCTTGGCGATTTTAACGCCCACCACGCCGTATGGCTCGGTTCACGTTTAACCGATCATGCGGGGAGATCTGTTTAAGACTTTGCTTGGGCATATGGTCTGACACAACTGGTTACTTCGCCTACGCGGATTCCAGATGTGGAGGATCATACAATTTCCCTGTTGGACCTTCTGCTGACTGCTCATCCGGACGGATATCAGGTTTCCGTCGATGCCCTTCTCGGCTCTTCGGACCATTGTCTGATTCGGAGTGTGGTGCCACTCACGCTCCCCTCACGGTTGGGTTCTGCAGGTTGCCGCCGTGTTTGGCATTACAGGTCGGCGGATTGGGACGGAATGCGGTCTTTCTTTGCATCCTACCCATGGAGGCGGGTTTGGTTCTCGCCGGATGATCCCAGCGCTATTGCTGACTCTGTCACTGATGTGGTGCTACAGGGAATGGAACTATTTATTCCATCATCTGTGGTACCCATCAGAGGCAGATCTCAGTGGTCACTCCTGTAAAACTGCATTACGCAGTAAGCAGGAGTGTTATCAAGCCTGGGCTGCGGCTTCGGCGACTCGGGATGTAAACACCAGCATACTTAAAAAGAAGTATAACTTCGCCTCCAGGTCCTTCAAAAGAGTTATTGCTAAGGGAAAGTCAGAGCTCATAGGCAGAATTGGCGAGAAACTAGTTCACCTTCCTTCGGGAAACCGTGCATTCTGGTCTCTCGCTGAGGCTATCAAAGGGAATTTCTGTAAACCATCACTACCATCTCTGCACAGGAAGGACGACTCACTGGCCCAAGACGCAAA